AATGCTCATTATCTGATGAAGTCAAATTTTTGCAACATTGCCAAAAGCTACATGTTTTCCCATTTTTGACAGATGGTTTCAGATAGATTTTCTATTTTTGGTCAAACTTGTAAGGTGAAGCAGGTGTTTAAGGTTGCAGACTGCTTATTTTAGAAACATATGCAGCTAGACTTCTTTTTGCTTATATGATGAATGTGACTTTCCTAAACCAAATAGTAAAAATGCCAGATAACTTCTTCGTGACGTAGGCAGACTACTAAGAACATTTTTTAAAATTCACCAAACCTTTCCATTATATTTTGCTTAGATGATACAGAAATATTGGGTTTGGAAAAACTATTTACTGTGTTTCACATTTTAATTTATAGAAACATCAATGGATTCTCGACTTCAAAGGATACATGCTGAAATAAAAAATTCACTCAAAATTGATAACCTCGTAAGTGTTTAATACCTCATTTAAAAATACAGTGCTGCTTTTATAGCTTCATATTTTATTTTCTCACAAGATTTTTGTAAGTATGTGTAAATTTAAGGTAACAGGGTCTGTTACTGGTTATTTTTAACTGCCTTGTTTGAGATTTTAAAAATAAACTTTAGAAATAGATTATATAGGTTGTGGTGATTAACAGTTATGAAATCACTGTTTTGTCATGAAGGATGTGAACAGATGTATTGAGGCCTTGGATGAACTCGCTTCACTTCAGGTCACAATGCAGCAAGCTCAGAAACACACAGAGATGATTACAACACTGAAAAAAGTAAGTGATCTGGAGTTATGCAGAAATTTTAAAATTTCCTTATTATCACCACTTCATTAAAAAGTAACTTTAAAAAAATCAGGAAAACAATTATGAATGTGTATTTTGTTTTCTCAGATACGGCGATTCAAAGTTAGTCAGGTTATCATGGAAAAGTCTACAATGTTGTATAACAAGTTTAAGAACATGTTTTTGGTTGGTGAAGGAGATTCTGTGATCACACAAGTGCTGAATAAATCTCTTGCCGAACAAAGACAGCATGAGGAAGCAAATAAAACCAAAGATCCAGGGAAGAAAGGGCCAAACAAAAAACTAGAAAAGGAACAAACAGGTAAGTGGGAATAAATCCTTCACAGGGACTGCTTTTTAAAAATGGCTTTGATGTACAATCTGCTTAATACCTTATCTACATTAAATGACGTAAAAAATCAAAGCATTTAGCAGAATGTAGTAAAGTGCTCAACCTTAGCTTCTGCTTTTTAATCCAGTTTAAGTTCTCATCAAGTTTAAATTAGTTGTAGTTAAATACTACTACTAGTAGTGGTTGTTAATCCTCTTTTCATTTAAATTAGGAAAAATTTCTAACCTACACACAAGTAGAAATGAACTTCCCATGTCCCCATCACCCACCTTCAGCAATTATCGATAGATGATCATTGGTTTTTCATACCCCCGTCAAGTTTCTCTCTGATACCCCTGAGGATTATTTTGAAGCAAGTTCTAGGTACGCCATTTCAACCATAAATATTTTAGGATGTATCTCTGACACACTCTTAAAACCACAGTACCATTATCCAGCCTCTAATTCCTGTTATTAAATGTCTTAGCAACAGCTGCTTAATCTAGAAACCAGCATTCCAAAGGAGTTGGAATTTTTTACTCATTTAATAGGGAATCTCCTTAGAGATTTGTTAATGAAGTAAGATATACAGGGAAGTCCTCATAGTTTAATTAGTAATAGGGCACAAAATCATGTTAATTAGGAAATACTGCTTTTGACACTTTGTTCTAAAATACCAATATTGATAAATACAAAATTTTACTGTGATTCACAGTTGTTTTTTCTAAGAACTAGAATAAATCGTAATGCTCTAAAGAGTTGTGCCACCCATAGTCTTCCTGATAATGGTAACATGGAATAATCAGATTAATACTCTACTTCTTGTACCCAGATATATGTAGTAACCTTGCTTCTTATTGTGCCTCACCTATCACAAGGATTACAGTGTAATTTCAAATAAAATACATTAAGTATTAGAAACTTCAGGGCCATGTTTTATTTTTGATTTTGGATCTTGAGAGACCATCTTAAAGTTTTAGAAGATCTAACAGTTTTTCCGCCGGATCCTTCTAAAGGTTCAAAGACTCTAAATGGAGGATCTGATGCTCAAGACAGTAATCAACCACAACATAATGGAGATAGCAATGAAGACAGCAAAGACAGCCATGAGGCCAGCAGTAAGAAAAAGTGAGGACATGTTTTAATGGGTGGTAATGTGTGCTTTTGTTTAATTTTTAAGTCATATTCTTGTTCCAAGGTTGTTTGTAAAGGGGGTTGTATTTTGATCACTCCCTGAATTCAGGAAGAAAGATAAAAATCAAAAGGGCAAAATTTATAACTAATTTGCCACCGTAGTCAAGGGAAGAGAGCTAGGTAGGAATCCAGTTTTAAAAAAGAACTATTCTTCCTCGTACTCCTTTCACTGATACACCTTTAATAATGACTCATGTTCATACTTTCTTGAATTGTGACACGATAATACAAAAATCAGATCTAGAATCACAGCCTCTTTTGTATTATAGTACCCACTCTAAAATAACTAGATAGGGAACTATAGTTACCCAAGTCTTGGTTTGTTCTGTTTAAGAACTTGGAATCAAGCATCCCTAATTCCGAAATGCAGGAAATCTTGCGTGTGTGTATATCATCCCTTCTTTCTACTGAAGTTTGTAATATGTTGGTATCACTGATAAAACACTTTCATGTAAAAGACAATTCATTTTAAAGCTAGAAATGATGGAAAGGGCCTGGGCCATGATGCTTCCCTGAGTTATTTTGCTTGATCTGCATATTACTTTGGGAAGAAGACACAACAGGGTAAAACAAAATTTTGAACACAAAAAGTCAAGATTTTGTTTTTTTTTAATCTTTTGGTGATTTAAAAAACAATGCATTTAATGTCTTTTTTTTCTCCTGAGGAAAAAAGCCCTAATCCCAGTTGTCACACCTTTCTGTCCCCCTTTTCTGTAGGCCATCCAGTGAGGAGAGAGAGACTGAGATATCTCTGAAGGAGTCTACGCTAGATAACTAGTTTGACATACCTGGAATATAAAGAACATTTGAGAAGTTTGTAATGGTTTTCATTTGAAATATTTAGACTGCTGAAAGTTTAAAATTTTTATAAGCATAGGTTTTGATGTTTAAAACTTGTTTTGAGGGAGAAAATCCCTTTATCTTTGTTTAAAAGTAATTAAACATTATTGCTAATTGTACTTGTGCAGTATTAACGGCTACATTATACAGTAAATGTGAGGGAAAATCCATTTAGGAAATGTTAAACTGCTTTTCCAGACATTGGTTGTAGCATATTTTCAATTAGTGTGTGTATGTTAATGTGTAATTGATAGTAGAAGTTACATTTTTAAAACTGCTACTTGTATAAAAACCTTTCCTCTTTTTCCCAAATACTGTGGGTTTTGTGCATAGTTTTTACAAATCTTGGATTTACCAGACTGTCTTTTCACTGTTTGTGGGTTTTGTAGAAGTTATGCATTTTTATGGTAGATAAAATGTTACTTCTATACAAGTACTCACTCCGTTCTTTTATCAAAAAGTTAATTTTAATCTCACAGTCTACATTGTGCTATATTCTCCTGCTGCTTTGTAACAATGTGTGGTCTGTATGCCTTTTTGTATGACAACTAGATTATCCAACTGACATGGAACTGACAATCTACGGGGTACAAAACTCACGTGAACTTTCGAAGGTAATTTAGTTTTGTGGCTGGGAATTCGAGTCACATGACTTACCTGCAGAGAGCAGACTGGGTATATATAGGAATGGATCTGGCTTTAGGGGTCAACCATCTAAGAGCCCTTATAGGCACCAGTAGCTGAAACTGAAAACTAAATGATAAAAGTTTATTTTTCAAGGAATGTCTCAAGTTGCTGAATTTTTTAAAGTCACTCATTAAGGAAGTCAGTAAGTAGTATTTTTTTAATTGGGAACAAACCAGCCATGATGCTTATGCAGTAAATAAAAGTAAATACTATATAAGGAAACATAAGGAATTTTTATTTCTATATCATACATGTGACAGGCTTGCAAAAAGGGGAATCATTCGTTGTTCCGAGGCAGCAGACGAAGTAAAGGAGTGCTGTGATGGTCTGTATATTCATATATGGACTAATCAGGGCGAACTGAGGGTAACACAAATCTACGGAAAACTTAACACGCAGAATTTCTAAGAGATTTTGGATATTAGGTCAGTTGGTGGTTTTCAGTAGCTGAAAGACTTTTCATGTTTTGAAATTATGAATATGGGGAAAAGGCTTATACCAGTGTTTGCATGTGACATGCATTTATGTTTTGACCTCTCGGATAATTGTTTTCATCTATAGATGGAAAGTTTTAATTATTTTAATAATTGGTGTTTTGCTTTCGAGAGGTCTTACAATGGAACTAGGACCCACTGTTTCGAGGGAACTCTTGCTATTACATTATATCTGTTTGGTCCTTAATACAATTTAAATTTGGACAGATTTATTCTAGTTAAACCATAGGTGTCAACATGTAAACTTGTTTTGATTAAAGAATTTTTCTATCAAACTCTACTAGTAAATTACTTCTTTACAAAAAGTGTGTTGGAATTCTGGATTTGCTTCTAAGGGAGTAATTTCTTGGTTAACTTGGCATAGAGATTGTGTTGTTTGGGGAGACAGGGTAATTAAAACGTAAGCTCAAAATGATAAAAATAAAGGAAATGTTATTTTTCATTCCTCCTCCCTTTTTTTCTGTGACCCAACAGATCTAGATAGTTTTACCAAGAAACCACAGCAAATTCAAATTCTAGAGAGATACATAGCAGCTTTCTGGATAATCTGTTTGCTTGTGTGGGCTGACCTTGCTCTAACCAGTTATTTATGTAGTGTTAAAACACACTTGCCTTCTCTTTTATCTGAATCTTCATTTTAAGAAATGTTTCTCTTTGTTGCAAGTTGATTCACAGATAACTACCACTTTCAGGAGCATTGGCTCAATTTGTGTATTTGGTCAAAACTCCACAGCTGAACAAGTCACTAGGGGATAATTTAAATGAGAAGCTAGCAAAAAAGACAAAAAAACAAAACAAAAAAACAACTCTTTTTGGTATGTATAAACAACACCTATTTCTTGGTGCTTTTTAACCACTGGATAACATTTAAAGAAGTAAATTATGCATGACCCAGCAGAATCAACTGTTGGAAGGTTTTCTCGGCTGCCTAGGAGAAATTTCAGATGTAATATATCAATTACAGAACCTGAACGGGATTTTGTATGTGTAAATAGCTTGAAAAGCCTTACAGTTGCTGTTATATCCTGTGTTTTAGTAGGATGATTGATTTTACCCAGTTTTTGCTGTTAACTGATTGTAGTGTACCCACACACACTTACCTGGCTCAAGATGTCAGGTCAAGATGAAGTCTGCCATCTAGTCCTATACAAAAGCGAAGGCTCCGCTAACAACTTATTTTGTCCCATTGGCTAGAGAACGGATGATCTATTGGAAATAGCAAACCCATCATTACACCTTAAGAAATGAAGCTTCTTTATAGGTAGAAATGTGTTTATATTTGTGCTATGTAATGATAAATGGAACAAAGGTCAAATTATCCTTTAAGCATACTGAAGCCTGAAAAAGATGTTTAAGGAAATAAATACCTAAGTAGTGATTTCATGCATGACCATCCACTATTTTATCAAAATCTAATTCGGTTCAAACTACAGAGGATGTTGAAAATTCATGACAGTTTCATATTTGCTTTTTTCTTTGTAGATGTACTCAGTCATGTTGTGTTTAATACTGAATTTCGCAGGTATAAAATCCCTGATTCAAGACATCTTTTATGCCTATTTCAAATTCAGGAGCTTCTTTTGACTTGAACTTGGTGGGAGACCTGTATAACTGATACAGTGGCAAATTCTAGGAGTAACCTAGTTAGCTTTTCCTTTCTACATTTCACCAGGAAACGATAAGACAAAGGTATCTGAGCCTTTGTAACTTCAGTTAAAAAGTTAACCTTAAGAACCAGCAGGATAACATTCTCAATAAATGATACAACAAGAATTTCAACAGCAGTTAATGTTTTAACTGACAATCTTCCTTTTAGGAATTGATTGGCACCACATGTGGATTAATGCTTCCATTATGACAGTTCACTTCCTGGGATTTGCCATTTTGAGAATATGAAATGATGAGAATGAATAAAAGTGCACAGACCCTTGCATACTAATTAATGCAAGACCTATGAGGAATGCAGTGTAAAAATAAAGGAAGCAAAAATGCATTTTTACCTGTGGAACTTTTGGAAATTGCATAAATCTATGGTTTTCCAGCAGAATTTTCAATCTGTTAAATTGAGCATAACTGGAAACATGAAAGTAAAAATTGACGCAGTAACATAAGCCAGTGTACTGACTTAATCAGTGACTGAGAACACCGCTAGACATACCGGAAACAGGCGCTTGTCCTCTACACAACAGGTGACTTAATCGGCTATGTGGCATTTAAGTCCATAAAACATTTCACTGTCAATGTTTCAGACAGACAGGCTTAGACAGTCTTCATCAGTTTTTGATTTATATGGTAAATGTTCTTAGTCATCCAGGGAATGTGGAGTTCAGTCACATTTAAGACAACCTAGAAGAGAGAAAGTGAAATATAAATATTACACATTTAAAATGAACTATTTTATAACATTTCTAAAAGTCTTAAACAGAAAGTTTCCACCGAAAAACTTTTCCAGAAAAACATTTCAATATAGATAGCTACAATTTTTTCTGATGATTTAGGCTTTGGAATGTATCAAAGTTGTTCCTTGGACCAGAATGATAGAAGAGAATAACTAGGATTTTCATAGTAAGGGGGCCGGAAGAATGGAAGAGCTGTGCCAGAGGAACTCCTGTGTTTTCTTTTTGCAAAAAGAATACTGGGTATTACTGCTCAAGAACGTGAGCCAGAGCTAGCAATTCCCAGGACTTAGTATGTCTCAGTGGTCATACTACATAAAATCTGTGATTTTTTCTAAATCATAAAAATGTTAAATTAACATACATTTTAAACTCAGCATTTGTGATTCACAAGAAGTTCTTGTCAAGAAGTGAAGCTTCAATTTAAATGTTACTTCTATGAAGGTATGAGTATATACTCAAGATCTTTTTATATTCATTATTCATGAAGTGTTTCATTAAAATGTTCAGTGGTCTATATTCTACCCAAACAAAACCTAACTTGATTACAAAAGAGCCCACTGTGAGATTAAATTACACAATAGCTATTCTTAATACTGTATTTTTAAAATAAACTTTTATTCTTAACTTCTCCCTTATTTTCATTACAGATATTTGAAGCATCTTTACCTTGGAAGCCTCAATGGTACAAGGTGTAGCTCTCACATTCTTCAAAGAATTTTCAAAACTGCCACCACTTGATGTATTATTCATTGAATTTTGCTAATGATAGATGAGCAAAACGTACTCTGGATACAGAATGAATAGGCAAGCCACAGACTGGGAGAAAATCAGAATACATGTATCTGACAAAGTATTTATATTCAGAATATATAAAACACTCCTACAACTCAATAAGATAAACAACTCACTTAAAAATGGGCAAAAAGCACTAACTGAAAACTGTACTTTGGAATAAATACTAAAGTAATTTAATTTATTTCTAAACATCTAAATGCAATCAAGTTACTTTGTAAGACAATCTGTGATTTGAACTTTGGGGGTTGGGGGGCGGTGGTAACTTTAGCTGATTGTTTCAAGTGGATCCTGCTCCGTAGTGGCATTTCTTGGAAATAAAGTCACCATCCAAGCGTAGTTATTTCACAAGGGTACACTTGTTATTAGTTAAAGGTTCCAGGATCAACATAAGGATAGGCGAGGAATTCCCCCAGTTTGTTGCCTTCTGAATCATAGTGGAGCATTCGGAAGCAAACATCACAAAAGAAACATGGGTCCTCAGGTGCAAAACTGTCATTGTTTGTCACCCATCTGTAGTTAAAAAAAAAAGGTATAGCATTACAATCAACTTTCTCATGCTGTAAGTTATGATCTGTAGTAATATGTATACATAACATTCCCACTATTGCCTTATCATTCTATCTTAATACATTACAATAATCCTTTATATGAGTTTCTATATATATATAGACATATCACTACCAAAACTGCATAAGGCAAAAGGGCAATTAACAGAAACACTGCAGAAAGCTGTTTCTCTGAAAGACTTTTTAAAGGTAAGTAGAGAATAATAATAGATATGTATTTGAAAGCATCATATACTTTTGCCATGACATACCTGTACTCCAAGTAACTTTTAATATGAACATCATTTTCTTCTAATAGGCCATCTTGAAAAACCAAAATAAATTAGATGCTACAGGCCTGATAAACTTTTGCTTAATTTATCTTTCTAACTGGTAAATTATTACTGGTTAATGTGAAACTCCAGCTGTTTTACCTAAAAAAATGTTAGAGTGTATACAAATGGGAATATGGGCAACATTATTCAACTGAGGCTTGCTTTTTTTTTTGGCCTGAGATGTTACTGGTCATAGTAAGATGAAAATGCTATGTTTTGGTCTACCTCAATTCTACATCTCATGGAATGCTTTAACATTTCCTGATTTCCATTTTGATCTGATAAATAATTTATTAATTATGTTTTCTTATTAATCATTTAGAAAAGCATATTGTAAGCGAGGAGCCCAAAACAAATTGATGATACTAAATTCTTCCCTTTTCCTCTGAATGGTTTTATGATTCTGATCCACAGTTAAGAAATAATCTAAACATGCAGAATCATGTACAGCAAAAATTTTATAAAACCATACTTTGATCTCATATATGAAATGCTGTTAGGTTTTCATGGAAGAAAAGCTGACTTTGTAAACTACAGACAAGAGGCAGAAAGAACATGGCTCCCTGATGACACTGAGCATTGTATCAACCAAACTAGAGTCTGCCCTACACCAGACTTCCACTGTACGTGGGAATTCATTTCCTTATTGTTTACAACGTGGGTGTAACCTACTAAAGTGACCTGCAGCACTTCCCTACTAGATAAAGCACTTTTGTATTATTTATACCCCAAAGCATAAGTCCTCAGATTCAGAATAGAAAAGAACTGAAATACCAAAAAGGAAAAGTACTTGACAAATGAAAACCAATACTTCTCAAAAAATAGGTATCACTTACCTGGCTGTGTACATTTTACAAACAAAACATTTTCTGGTCCATAGCCAATGCTTTTTGATAAGAAGGGGATAAAGTGTCCTATCCAAGCAGTCATCACGATGCACAAGCCTTTTGTACATGAGAAAATAAATGAAGATACTAAGTACAATTTTTGTGATCTGTATAGAAATATATCTGTACCTCAACATTAAGAACACAGCAGGTCTATTTTTCAAATTTTTGCTTACAAAGATACACGAACAAACTGACTTGTTACACTGGGTTTGACCAAATAGTCTTCCACAAAACACTATCTCCAAAAGAGCATTTTGGATTAAACAATGTTTTCTTTCTTGTGGAACTTCTCAAATCTCTTTATGATAGTGTGCACTGTAACTCTAAGAGGGAGATACTGTATGCAGCTTTTCTTAAATGTATTCCATCAAAAGAATCTTTGCTCGATACTTCGTACCTTTTTTTTGGTGAGAAGGATTGGCCCTGAGCTAACATCTGTTGCTAGTCTTCCTCTATTTTTATGTGGGATGCCACCACAGCATGGCTTGATGAGCAGTGTGTCGGTCCACGCCCAGGATCCAAACCTGCAAACCCCAGGCTGCCCAAGCAGAACACATGAACTTAACCACTACACCACTACACCACTGGGCCAGCCCCCTTTTTTTATGGAACATAGTTTGAGCAACTGTTTCATTTAACTATTTTATCTAGCTATTTTACCTAGATTAACTGGTTATGTGTTACTACATGGCTCTTGTTGCTTACTGTCCCCCTTATTAGAATCCAAATCTGGCACCTGGTATAATGTGAATTGGTAGGACTTTAGTTTTAGGTGTCAGAATTAAAAAATTCTAAGTGGAAGTCAATCTCCACTATGCCACTAATAAGCTGAGTGGGTTTGGGTAAATCCCTTAACCATGCTCAGATTCTTTTCTGAAAAATGAAGGGGCTGATAAGAATATTCTAAAGGCCTCTGACAGTTCTAAAACTTGATTTTTCTTTTTGGTAAGAAAGAGCAGCAATATATCAACTTCACCAGAAAATGATTATTAAACTTTTAAGTTTGTCAACTATTAAACTGTGGAATGGCACTGAATTAAAAAATCCACCTGTAAGATAAAAGTGACTTTTCTGGGGCTGGCCCTGTGGTATAGTGGTTTAGTTTGGCGCACTCTGCTTAGGCAGCCTGGGTTCACGGGTTCAGATCCCTCACAGAGGCCTAGACCACTTGTCAGCCATGCTGTGGCAGCGATCCACATATAAAATAGAGGAAAGACTGGCAGAGATGTTAGCTCAGGGCTAATTTTCCTCAAGCAAAAGAAGAGGAAGATTAGCAACAGAAGTTTGCTGTGAGCTCAGGACTAAAATTCTTCAGCAAAAGAAAAAACAATGACTTGTATTCTAAATTAGGTTCAAAAAACAACTTAGGAAAATCCTACTGCAAATGCTTAATAGGTGTAAATTGTTTTTCCAAGTTACCTTGAGTTTAAGGAATGACACTGGACAGCAATATGCCTGCACTCTAAGAAATGGAAGGAAACTAAGATCATCAGAGAAAAGTGGACTGTCTTCCATTTTATGCTTATTCTGAGGCACATTCTCCTTCAGTGAGTGGAAAAGCAGACAGAACAGCTTATATAACATTTAAAGAACACATTATTGAAGAAAGAAACGTACATAATTAAGTCATATAAATCCATGAGGTGTATGTGCTCTCGTGACTCTTGCTTCAGCAATTCTTCCACTAGGGCAACTGTTTTCCATTCTTAACTGTTTCTTTTTAATTTAGCTCCTCAGCACCCCTCTACAGAACTATTGTAACTTTGGTTGAATAGAATTTAATGTTTAAATTATGATGAGTTAATACTACTTCCACCTAAGCTACACAATTGACTGTGGGTTCCTCTTACTGTGTAACACTATGTTTTCCAGCTACTAATTCTCTCACGTTTACATTTGCTTAGGTTTCAGTGTACCTGTCACTAATTCAGTTCCCTGTTCTCTGAGAGAACGGGAAACGTACTCTCCACGTGGGTTATGCACCAAGGGGAGGTCTAGCAGTTCTAGAAATCCTTCCTGGGTCCCCCGTCCTGCTCCAATCTCCGGACTAAGCTGTTCTCTAGGTCTGCTATCCAACCATCATTCTGGGACTTCTCTTTCCTATCATTGAGTTCCTTTTATGTCTTATCTATTCAGCTTTGCATTCCATGTTTTTCTTTTTTAAGGTTTAGTCTTCATGTGAAGTACTTCCTCTGGTAGCTTCCTGAGAATGAGTGCACAGGAGGTAAATTTTTGGAGAGTGGTCACTAAGATGCAAGAAAAGTAAAAGCAGGGACTTTCTAAAAGCAGTTCCTATTAGTGGGATAATAACAGCATGGGTATATCATTGCTCCACAAAAAACCTTTAAAATGGCCTCTCAGAAGAATCAAACCAGGGAAAGAGCAGAGCTCATTCCTATATATTAGTCCTCCATAAATTGAGATTGCCTGAGTGAGGAAATGAATAGCCCTATTCATGAGGAAGAGAGATAGCAGCTATACAACATGTGTGATTAATCCCCAATCTCATTTTAGACTACTTTAGTTCTTCCCACTTCAAACCTCTATCAAAGCATCAAGACTTCACATTTGCCAAAATTAGAATTACTCTTCTCTTCCCTTAGTTCTTTTTATCTCCTTTAACATTTTGGCAAAAAGACAAGGAACCTAGAAAAACAGTTTTAAATTAGTAAAGCAAAGGGCCTACAGGAGATACAAAGTGGATGACAACTACCTTACTGACAGCGTCTAATATACAAATGGAGATACCTTTAAAAGTATTTACAGATTTCTAAAACCTTCTAATAAACAGTAAAGAATTTATTACAGACTTTCCAAACAATGAACAACAGGATGCAAATGGGTGCAGAGTTGGTCATTGCATGGAAAGCAGATACTGACTTTTGCTGCTTCCGAGCCAAGCGGCAGCAATGATTACTTTTATTCCTCTTATTTAAAAAAAAAAAACCTGTTCTTTTTATACTGTGAAATAAAGAAGAGAATAGAACAAAGAACAAAATGTCCCGAGTGCTGCCACTTACCTTATGTCGGTAATGACAACAACATGTTCACAGTCTCCCTGGTGACAGTATAAGTAAGGAAAACCCAGTTTAATACACAAGTCATTGAAGGTGAAATCTTCCATGCTTGCAGTCTGAAACTTTCCATAGCCTCTATCATGCGACTCTGACCACTCAATGATGGTTCTGAGGGGGGAAGGTGAAGAAGTATCATTGCCCCACAGAAAGCTCACTGTGACAGAAGACGGTGTGTGACTGCAGCACTGCACAAAACCTGGCTCCCTCGATTGACTGGATAGTTGCCATCGTGAGATGAAAATTGAAGTGGTTGATACAAGTTGGAATTAGGAATTCTGAATTTTTCTTCACTCATACAGCAGCAGTTCTCAAAGTGTGGTTCCTGAGACCCCACAAGGGTTCGTGAGGTTAAAATTATCCTTACAATAAACCTAAAATGTCATTTGCCCTTTTAAGCTCTTATTCTCTCATAAATGACCAGTTTTCTGGAGGCTACGTGATGTGTTATCACTTCAGATCAAATGGAAAATGTACAGTGATGCCACTCTTCTCGTTATTTTATTTTGGAAAAGTTATTTTTCACAAAATGTTAATTGTTAACCTGTATTGGGATTATTTACATTAGTTAATATTTAAAATATTTTTTAGTTCAATTTCTAATATGGTAAAATATTGATAGTTATAACCCACATAAACAAAAGCTCTTTGGAGTCTACTATTTACAGTATAAAGGAGTGCTGAGACCAATAAGTTTCAGAACTGCTATATTAGAATACAGATACAAAAGGCTGTAATGAAAGAGAATTTATATAAACAAAAAATATGCATATATACTCTAGTTGCTAGGACACAATAAAAGTACAGTCTAATACTAGATATAGATTTTTCATGTAGGTACTTAACCAACTATATATATATATATACCTACATATATATACACTCATCTAGGACAAACGATAGTTTACATTGGACATGTAGAAAAAATGGTGAAAGATTAATTTACTGCTATCAACTAAATATGAAGACAGATGAATAAAATGTTGAAGTGGAATTTAATTTTTTTTAGATGTATCTAAGGCTCAATACAAGATTTACTGTAATTCCTAAAATAGTAGATAATACATTTAAAAAATAATTCCGGACAGCTGGCAAAGGTCTTGAAATGGTCTATTTATGCCTTTAGTAGGAAAATTTTCTTTTTCGAGTAAAAATTTTTGATTAACCTTTTAATTTACTTGATTACTAATTTACGATTACTTTTTGATTAATTTTGATTATTAGTACCTAGGCCAACCAGATGAAATAACTTTGAAAATATTTTCAAGGTTGACCCCAAAGCAATCTTAACAAAATAATTCCTTGGCAAAGAGCCTTAAGAGACCACTAATAGGAGTTGTGGAGATAGCATTATTTTGAGAACTAGAAACAGGAAAGACTTGGAGGAGACTCTTGGGAACTTACCTGCTCAAATCCCTGCACTCGGGGTATCTTCTATCATTGTAAAACGTTCCTTCAAAATAGAAGAAGGCTGACTTGTAGAGGTCCTACAAGAAAACAGATGGCATCAAGGGAAAGTTCACTAATTAACAATTATGAAATTGCTCTAAGTATTAATTCAAAATTTGTATGTCATAAAACCATACTAATTATGTTTTAACAATAACTTTATGCAACTCACAGAATAGGCTCAGCTTATTAATTTAATATTTAATGGGAACCTCCTATGTGACAAGGATTGTGTTAGTTACCAGAGATAAAGCTGTCAAGACATGATTCTTGCTGCTATTTTCAGTTTTATCATATTGCTGTTTTAATCACTAGGTTTGATTTAAATTTATATAATCTCCTGAGATTCATGAAAGGAATCCAATTAGAAATGAAATAAACTTCAATATTATTTTATTATATGAATACACAGCAGTGAGTTATTTTGGATAGAACAAAAAATTAAACAAAGTCACGTCTTTGATGTTTCCCATAACAGCAGTGATCATGAAGAGAGGTTTTTCTGTCATTTAAAAACTAATTTCAATGTGCTTTTATCAAAATTCTCTCTTTATATTTTCAGTAACTCTTAGGCAGAATGTGAATTTCTGCTCTCACTTAAGCAGTCTTGCCCAGAATACCACAGTCACTGCACAACTGGTCTGAACCCTCAGGTTTCCTAACCTTCATATACCAGACCTTCCATCAGAGGGGCGTCTCTTAATCCTGACTGCATGGCAGAATCCACAAACATCCAAGACCACGTTTCACCTCAGGTCCCTTAAACGACAATCTGAGGATGTGGCCCAGGCACCAGTGTTTTCCCAGGACCCCCAGGAGACTCAAATGTGCACCCAGCGTTGAGAACCACTCTGTCAGACTTGTCTTTCCCCATATGTGTAGAATTAGACCCTTGGGTGAGGGTCAGAAGACCTGGGTTCTTTTCCTTAACCTACACCTAGTCCTCAGACCTCAGTTTCCTCACCTGTAGAATGAGAGTAATATCTGCCGTGCTATCTTACAGGACTGTGATGAGAATCAAAAGCAGTTTACGAACTGTAAAAAAAGGTAAGTTTCAGGTAATAAGATAATTTTACCCTAAAATAGCCTAATTCCTCTCCTACTTCTCTGAAGCTTCTATTTTTCTTAATTTTCTTCATTCCCCCAGTTACAGATATCCAGCATTGGCATCAAACACCCTTACAAGACCGGCTGTGCTGTTTCTCCTTGGACTGCTCACTAAATCTCCCTGATCCTGCTTCCTCGTGCAAAACATGAGTAACGCCATTACTGTCTTTCCAGGCGGTTGTACAGATAATAGGATGTGACCTACTATAAAGCCACCTCTGGCTACTCAACACAAAGCCTGCATATGCTCCTAAACCCCCAAAGAGGTGAGCTGAGCTAGGGTCCAAAATAAAGGTTCTGAAACAATAACTATTGCCTTATTTTGGAATCAAAAACAAAGTTTGGTGTATATAAAATATTTTTCATTACGAAATGCTTCTATAGAACTTCACCTTGGGGGCCGGCCCCGTGGCCGAGTGGTTAAGCTCACATGCTCCACTTTGGCGGCCCCGCGGTTTTGCGGTTCAGATCCTAGGTGTGGACATGGCACCGCTTGTCAAGCCATGCTGAGGCAGCGTCTAGAAGGACCCACAACTAAAAATATACAACTATGTACCGGGGGGCTTTGGGGAGAAAAAGGAAAAATAATCTTTATAAAAAAAAAAAATGTCAGGGCTGGCCCCGTGGCCGAGTGGTTAAGTTCGCGTGCTCCGCTGCAGGCGGCCCAGTGTTTCGTTAGTTCGAATCCTGGGCGCGGACATGGCACTGCTCATCAGACCACGCTGAGGCAGCGTCCCACATGCCACAACTAGAAGAACCCACAACGAAGAATACACAACTATGTGCCGGGGGGCTTTGGGGAGAAAAAGGAAAAAATAAAATCTTTAAAAAAAAAAAAAAAAATGTCATCTTGAGTGATTTAGGGGATCTTAATGCCTTTGGCATAGGGGAACACTAAAAGAACATGAATGTTTTCCATCTAAATCCTAAATCATCCATTAATAACCTCTTCTTATCTCAGTATACAAATGGATAGACCAGTTAATTTTTAAAGGTAACCAGAGATCCTCACTAACTAGTTTCCCTATTCTGTCAGCTAGTTTAGCTGACCAAGTTCCAAGGTGGGTATGGGGGAGGAATCACCATCCAATATGGAAAAACTTGTCTAAGAAGTTACTTCTGTTGTTAATGTTACATAAGAGTCTACTATTACAATTTTCATATTATAAACAAAGTAACTTTCGATAACTAATATGATCATTTGAACTAAGTCGTTATTTATAATTTTAGGCATCAATTGGTCATTTATTCTCTTGCTAACATTCAAATCAACTACTTTAGAACTTCAGAAACAGTCCTAGGATCTGCTGTGAGGAAAATGGTAATGGAAAGAAGTGCTGGAGAACACGGGTAAAGAAATTTTTACAATTTAGTTTATGTTACTGTTTTTCCTATATCAAGTAACAGAATAATATGTGTGTAAAGGATTTTCTTAGAGCTTCTCTAAGAAAGACCCTAAGAGATTACTGACAAAAAAAGATTAATCTGGGGCCGGTCCCGTGGCCAAGTGGTTAAGTTCCCGCGCTCTGCTTCGGCGGCCGAGGGTTTCACCAGTTCAAATCCTGGGTGCAGACATGGCACTGCTCGCTCATCAAGCCATGCTAAGGCGGTGCCACAATAGAAGGACCCACGACTAAAAATACACAACTATGTACCCGGGGGCTTTGGGGAGAAAAAGGAAAAAATAAAATCTTAAAAAAAAAAAAAGATTAATCTGAGCAAGGTAAAAACGATCAACAGATCAGACATTTTAAACATGAGGGAATATGTAAAAAAAAAAAAAACTTAAGCAGAAAATACTGGCACTGATTTTATACGTATATTTTAAAATGCACTCCATTCTTGAAGTACTATAGTCCAAAAACAAATGTTAGCAAAACATTACATTTTAGACATAAGCTTTTAAGAGAGACTTGAATATACTGGCCCAATTCTAGTCTTCTCACGTACCAAATCAGTCAAAGAAAGTATTTTATTCAAAAGTCTTGCTTATCGGCTGGAATAAAGATTCCCATTTCCCCAGGGCAAGAACTGCAGCTTACTCCTTGTTCCACGACTACCAGTGGAACACACGCCAAATATCTCCCTGTCAAAGCAAGCACTCTGACTTAAGGACTTATTTTCAATTTTGTTAGATGTGACAATGGCATGAGGTGAAGAGATGAAATAGTTCTGGCAAAATGCTAAGAACTGTTGAAGATGGGTAATGTGTACATAAGGGCTCATTATACTATTCTCTTTCTTGTGTGTGTGTTTAACATTTTGCAAGGCAAAACTTAAAAAAAAAAACATCATAAAATAAAAATACCAATCAACGAAATAAAAATCTTTCACGGGCCAAACAACTGTTAGCATCGGCAAAATTTCACTTATTTATATGGGTTCACCTTTCTAAAACAGCTGGAGAACAAGGAAGCAAATAAAGCAAGTCTATGAACAGGCAAAGTTTCCACAAAGTCCATGTACTAGAAGCTCGTCACTGATCACAGCACAGCTCAAGTTTCCGCTCAGTAAACAAGGGTGGGAAAAACATCGAAAACCAGACATAATGCTAACGCGGCACAGAAAGCACATGGGGCTTTGAAGGTGAGCTGACAAGCGTCTGGATCCAGCTTCCGCCACTGCTTATTGAACACAGGCACCTCAAGACAATGCTCCGCCCCATCTTCTTCTTACCTGTAAAATGGTGATCATTCTTTCCAGAGACAGCGTATTGTACATCTAGCACATGGTAAGTGCTCAATAATCAGAGGATATTGTTTAACAGATGAAAGAGACAGAAAGAATAAAACAGCAGATGGGTAAATATTTTAAAGTCTGACTGTGAGTCATCCAGCCCCCTGCTTAGGAAGCTTTGCTGAAGGCATCATCACTGATGTACAAACACAATAAACTAACCCAGCTGCTTAAAACTCTCTCCAGGGTTCCTGGAGCTAAGACTGATTCCCAGATATGACTCAAACCGCCTTGAGCAAGTGATGACGCGGTTGGAACGAGGAGGATGAACTCAGACTGTTCTTATTAAACTGATTTTATAAAGTTTATAGTTACACTTTTTTTGCAGGGTTGAGAAACTTTGCAGAACATTGCTTCTCCTTTAAAAGAAAAGAGAAATCTCTTATTTCCCGGTCTGCATACAGCCTTGAAACTCCACATATTTCTCTTTCATCTAATCTTTATCTCCAAGAGCACTAGGATGGCAAACCTAAAGAACCCAAATATCTTAAAACCATTTTCAACATAACTCAAAAACTATTTAAGTGACATCTATGTGAGTGATGCTAGCCTCCGTGACAGTCACCAAAAAGAGTGAAACACAGCCAGCCTTGTGGGCAGACAGACATCAAATAGTATCAGCATATTATTATAAGCTCCAAAGTGGACAAATGAAATGGTGCCACAGTCACGAGGAGAGGAGAGTCAGGGAAAATTTCATGTAATGAGTTTTGAGCTGGCTTTGGAAATATGAACATGAACTCACCAGATGGAGGGAGGGAAAGGGCTTCCTACCATGTTCAAACACTCAGAAGCATAAAAAAAAGTATGGCCTGCTTGAGGAAGAGAAACAAATTTATCACGGCAGGAGCCTAAGGTGTAAAAGTAGGGGGTGAATAGTATGGAAAGTTAACTTGGGATTCATCATTACAAAAGGTCTTATAAATCAGCCTAAGGAGTCGACTACAGGCACTGGAGACCTACTGAGATTCTTAGATTGGAGAATGACAGGATTGATCGCTCTTTAAAGACTTAATTTTTTTTAAAGCAGATTTAGGTTTGCCACGAAATTGACAGGGAGGTACAGGGATTTCCCTGCCCCCACACATGCACAGCCTCCCCCATTACCAACATCACTCACCAGAATGGTACATTTGTTACCAAGGATGAACCTACATTGACACCTCATACTCACCCAAAGTACACAGTTTACCTCAGAGTTCACTCTTAGTGTTTGATTTGTTTTTGGAAGACATCTTGAGTGGCATGAATAGGACACTCTAAAGGAAGGAAGACCAGTTAGGAAGTCTCTACAATAGTTTCAGAAGAAGATGCTGAGAAGCTGAAGTAAAGCACATGACAATGGAAAAAACAGAATCTGGAGCTATTAAGGCAGAATAAACAGGAATGAAAAGGGAGAGTGTCATCTGAAGAAAAAGGGAGATGGCAGAATAACGAGTTTCATATTAATTTAAACCTTGAACTTGAGGTATCTGTGGTTCATTCCTTTATTCAGCAAATAACTGGGTGCTTCCTCTGTGCCACACATCAGCATAGCAATAAAAACACATCACTGAGCAAAACAAAGTCCCTACACTCGTAGGGCTTATATTCAAGTTAAGCAAGACAGACAATACAGGATGTCAAGTAGTGATAGTGCTACTAAGGAAAATACAGCCTGACAGGGGAAGAGAATTGTAATCTGGATGCTGTATGCAAAGACCTCTCTGTTGAGGCAACATGTGAGACCAGGAAGAAACAAAGGAAGGAGCCATCTGAATATCTGGGTGTTGAACATTCTAGGGCAAGGGAACACAAGATACAAAGGCTCCGAGCAGGAGCCTGCTTAGTATACATGAAAAACAGCAAGAAGGGCAATGTGGTTTGAAGGCAACAACTGAGGGAGAAGGTGTTGGGATATGAAGTTAGGAGGGAGAAAGGGCCAGATAATGGACCGTTTGTAGACCACAATAAGGACTCTGTACTTTACCCTGGATATTAGAGGAAGCCTCTGGAGATCTGACTGATACTTGAACAGCATCCTTCTGGCTGGCACAGTGGGTAACTAGGAGGGTGGATGGGGGCAGGGAGGACTGTCAATAGGCTGCTGCTGGAGTCCAGGCAAGAGATGATGGTGGGTTAACCAGCCCGGTACCAGTTAAGGATCACACACATGGGCAGATCCTAAATATGTTTTCAAAGTAGAGCCAAAGCACTTGCTGATGCCTTCAACGTGGGATGAAAAGGAGGCAAGGATGACATCAAGGTTTTAGCCTAAGTAAGCAGGTGCAGAATGGGCGTATTTACTAAGATGGGAGCACCGGGAAAGGTATAGATTTGAGGGGAAAGAGAGATCCAGAGTTTGCTTTTCAACATATTAATTTGAGATGGCTATTAGACATCTAATAAAGAATGTCAGGGAGGCTGTTGGATATTTAAGTCTGGAGTTCAGAGAAGATGTTGAAATTGGAGATATAAATCTGGGAGTCCTGGTGTTTATAGCTATGAATCTGGACAAGATCACCTAGGGAGCATATATAGAGGAGAGGTCTGAGGATTGATTCATAGGGCTTAATAATATAAATCAGGAAGATGAGAAGCATCTAGCAAAGGAATTGAATCAGTCAGATAGGAAGAAAATCAGGTGGGTATAATGTTCTAAAAGCCAAGTAAAGAAAGTGTTTCGAGGAAGGAGGAATATTCAATTGTGTCACAAGCTGATGAGACATCAAAGATGAAAGCTAACAATCTATCGTGGCATCAATAAAAGTGATTTTGGTGGAGTGGCAGGAACAAAAGTGAGTGCAAAATAAAGTGGGGAGAGAAAAAGAGAAACTGAATTTAGGTACTATTATTGATTCATTATTAACTATTATTAACTCTTGAGTCAGTTTGCTGAGAAGGAAGCAGAAAGACAAGGTGGTAGGTGAAGACACATGATTAAGAGGAGGTTTTAGGATGGACGATATTCCAGCACATCTGTTTATAGATGGGAAAGCCAACAGAATGGAAAAAACTGATGATGCAGGAACAAGAGGGGATAATTACAAGAACAAAGTCCTTGGTTGTGCAGTCAGGGATGGGGTCCAGTGGACATGCAGATTGGCCTTAGAGAGCAGGTTTAGTCCATCCATTGTAACAAGTGGGCAGCAATGTGTACCGGCAGATGGGTAGATGGCTAAACATGGGTAAGAGATGACGGAAAATTCTTCTCTGATAACTTTATTTTCTCAGTGAAATAAACAGCAAGGGTTTCAGCTGAAGGTAAGCCATGAGGAAAAGATGTTGGCAGTTTCAGAAGGAATAAAAGAGTTGCCTTGAAAAGTGGCAGCGTGAATCCACAAGAGAAGTGCAGTAAAAATGCCAGGCAGCACTGAGGTTAAGTGGAAATGTCCAGTAGGTACTTAAAATAATGGTCTGGAGAGGGCGGCCCCGTGGCAGAGAGGTTAAATTCGCACACTCCACTTCAGCGGCCCAGGGTTCTGCCGGTTCGAATCCTGGGTGCGGACATGGCACTGCTCATCAAGCCATGCTGAGGCAGCATCCCACATGCCACAACTAGAAGGACTCACAACTGAAAATACACAACTATGTACCCGGGAGCTTTCGGGAGAAAAAGGAAAAATAAAATCTTTAAAAAAAAAAAAAAGAGAGAGAGGAAGAGATAGGCATGATGGAACAGCACAGAAGAAGAAAGCATTTCCTGGAATATTTACAAGCCTGCTAGAGTAATCACTACCTCCTTAGCTTATTATTATTATTTTCTCTTATTTTATGGGGGTAAAAAAACCCCATCTTACTTTACTGATGTGCTCAGGGGCTTGATCAGGAGTGTTGCTGAATTCCCCACCAATCTGGAGGTCACTGACACAGCAGATTGAATCTCTCAGTTCTGTAAGCTTCTGACTGCCCAATACCAGCATCGTCTGATATGGTTTGTGTTCTTTGTGCTAAAAGTCAAATGGTAAATAAATAAGTGTTCACTTAGAGACAAAGCAATTCAACTATAAAACTTGATATGACCAAATCAAAAGTTACTAGTTTTCTTAAGTTATCCTCATTTTGGTGTTCTGCATTTTCTTAGATTCTTATTTGTCTACTTTGCATCCATTAATTACAGGTCCAAACTAATGGTCAAAGTTGTTTATACCTCCCCTGTGATCCAGAGCCTATATTCTTTTTTATTTCTTTTAATTTAATTTTATTTTTCCTCTTTCTCCCCAAATCTCCCAGGTACATAGTTGTATATTTTCAGTTGTGGGTCCTTCTAGTCGGGCCATGTGGGACACGGCCTCAGCATGGCTTGATGAGCGGTGGAATGTCCGCGTCCAGGATCTGAACCCTGAAACCCTGGGCAGATGAAGCAGAGCGTGTAAACTTAACCACTTGGCCATGGGGCCAGCCCCAGAGCCTATATTCTGAAACCACCTCTTTTATCTAACTCTCACACACCAAGCCAACATTCCCCTTGTCCTAAATCAATCCAGAGCCAGGTACCAGGCAACTAGGGACGGCCCCTATACCCCAGAGCCCACTGGAATTATTCAAACTAGCCAATCCTAAACTGTTGACCCTGTCCTACCTTGCCTTTCTTCAAAAAAACCCCAATAAAGGCTGTGGCCTGTGCTTTTCCCTCGATCCTTGCTGCCTCTCGACTGACACTTGTGCTTCCCTGTGGCCCTGCACAGTGTGGCTTAGCCCCTCCTCTCAGGAAATGTAAGTAATGAAAATCTTCTTTCAGGGGCTGGCCCCATTGCCAAGGGGTTGAATTTGCACGCTCTGCTTTGGTGGCCCAGGGTTTCGCCAGTTCGAATCCTGGGCATGGACATGGCATTGCTCATCGAGCCATGCTGAGGCGGCATCCCACATGCCACAACTGGAAGGACCCACAACTAGAAATACACAACTATGTACCAGGGGGCTTTGGGAAGAAAAAGGCAAAATAAAATCTTAAAAAAAAAGCCAAAAAACTTCTTTCAACAGCATTAGCCTCTAACGTTGGCACTCAGTCACCTGGGTACATGGGTACAATTGAGACACTCGCTGCTATGGTCTGGATGTTTGCATCTGCCCAAAATTCACATGTTGGAATCCCAATGCCCAATTCGTGATGGTATCAGGAGGTGGGGCCTTCGGGGTGATTAGGTCATGAGGGTGGCACCCTCATGAATGGGATTAGTGCCCTTATAAAAGAGATCCCATAGAGCTCCTACCGCTTCTGCCATATGAGAAGTCTGCCACATGGAAGAGCACCCTCACCTGATATCCTGGCACCCTGATCTTAGGACTTGCAGCCTCCAGAAATGTGAGTAATAAATTTCTGTTGTTTATAAGCCACCTGGTCTGTGATATTTTGTTACAGCAGCTGGAACAGACTAAGATACTTGGCAACAGAACTTTTTTAGTTTGAGCTAAACTTTACAATCAAAATGCTACTAAAAATGACATTAGCCTAAAGAGCCTTTAGAATATAACTTCATCTGCAGCACTGTCTTCTAAAATTTCCTGGAAGATTACCTCATTGAAATCAAGCAATCTATACGCTACCCTCAGGTTATAAATCCAGAGGTTCAGTTTTATTGGTTTAGTATAGTTTAGTTTTGTTTGATAATCTGAGTTCTTAATCAAACAAGGTAATTGGTACTAACTATATCCCAGATGCTTCATAAAAGCCTATTTATTCACAAGTGGAATTTATGTATAGTAACACTGCAATTAAACCTTATCAAGGCTTATGACACATCTATTTGGGGAATCAAGAATACATACCCTCTGGGCTGGGACAGAGTTCTTTTTATTAGATACTCCTAAGAAATTCCTGGATACCCTCGACCTGTTACTTTTCTTTATTTTCATCAAAGAAGCACCATCTTTAGCTAGTTCACTAAGTTTCCAAGTATTGTGAACTGATGAGCAAAGGTCACCCTACTCCTTCACCAGTCACCTAATCTGCAAAAAACCCTTAAGGATTCATATAATTAGAATCATTGTGGATTTATATATACTTTCAGTTGCTTCTAGTGCAGAAATCAAGTATATATTCCAACACTATAATCAAAATCATATTTATCAAGAGATTATTTGAAACTTGACCTTATTTATGATATTCATTATTAAAACAAACAACCCAAAATTACAGCCAGCATTTCAGATAAGATTGCATATGCCTGCATTTATTTTGAGTCCCCAAGGAAGGTGATTCTTCAAATAATTAAATGCTTTGACAAAAGTCACTCATATTATCTGTGAAATTCAAAAGATTTTACTACTCACCTTATGAAAAATAACAGGGTACAAGATATTCACAGACAGGATAAGCTCCCCTTCTTCAATCATGTCTGTGGGATTTTCAGGCTTTTTTCCTATGGCATGTGACTCCTAAAGGAGGAAAACGCATTAATAAGAGACCTTAAAATCAGACGCTGTGACCCAGATGAGAGGCAGTGTGGAATAATGTCTATACGCAAGGGCTGGAGTCAGACAGCCCTGGGTTTGACTCCTGATTCTACTTCAAGAAAATTGTTAAAACCTCCCTAACCTTTAGTTACATATTCTGTAAAAAAACAATAAATATTTATTTTACAGAACTCTTGCTGGGAATGTGTACATAAAGACTCTAATAAGATTTTTGGCAATAAGTGCTTAGCAACTGATGATAAAACAGAGCATCAACTAATGTTGGTGTAACGCTGGCACTTACAACACTTTTACATGCCTCCTTTCGTATTATTATGACATACTTTTGACACATGAAGCTCAGAGGTTCAGATTTACCCAAGTAAATCAGTGAGTTAGGATGCAAATACAGATTTGTTTGACTCTAAAACCTCTGCTTTTTACAACGTTGTCACATCTTTAATACATCACCCTCTTTCATATGTGTTTAATAACTATAAAATGGGGGCCACCTGGATGACTGGATAAGAAATAAAGGTGCAAAAGATGTTTTAAAAATAAGTGGAAGTGACATCACACATAATGGCAGAGTAGGAAGGTCTAGGGATCAATTCCTCCACCAAAGCAACCAATAAGATGGAAAGGAAGATGGAAACCAACTATTTTGAAGTCTGGACCTGATCAGACTCATATCAACCAGGGGAGTGCTTGACGAAGGGATAAGCTGCTGATCTTCCACAAGGAAGCAGAAGGTGCAAACCAATGACCACCCCATTCCTCAGCTCCATCACAGGAGTGTAGATAGCAGCCCATGTTCCTGGAGCAGATGGCTGAGGCCAGGACAGGCAGTGGGGACCCTGTTCTCCAAAAACTGGGGTTGTGTGTTTTGGTTGGTCTGGCGATGACCTGAGGGCCTGGTGCACACACCTGCCTCGGTTTGGGCCCTCTTGTCAGCAGTGGCTTCCCCTAGGAGCAGCTATTGGAAAATTTAAAGAAATAGGGCCCTTTTTTTTCATTTGTGGAGGCAGACATTTAAAGAAATCTTGGCCAGGTCTCTGGCTGACCACAGAAATAATGAAACAGAAACATCAGTGACTATACACAACAAGGAACACACACATTGGAAAAGTAGTTAGGATAAGTCACAGATACCTCTAGCCCTCAATAAGGAAAAAAGCATACTCAGAATGTCCAGTTCTCAATAAAAACTTATAAAACACACAAAGAAACAGGAAAATATGGACCATTCACAAGAAAAAAGAATTTGACAGAAACTACCCCTGAGGAAGCCCAGACACTGAAATTACTAGTCGAAGACATTAAATCAACTGTCTTAAATATAGTCAATGACCTAAAGGAAACCACAGACAAGGAACTAAAGGAAATCAGGTTCTTCAATACGATTAACAGCTGATTTCTCACCAAAAACCATGGAGTCAAGGAGGCAGTGGTTTGATATATTTAAAGCCATGAAAGAAAAACCCTGTCAACCAAGAATTCTATACCTGGCAAAACTACCCTTCAGGAATGAAGGGGAAATTAAGACATTTTCAGATAAACAAAAGCTGAAGGAGCTCGTTACCAGTAGACTTGCCCTATAAGAAATGCTAAAGAGAGTTCTTCAGGCTGAAATGAAAAGACCTTGACAGTAACTTGAATTCATATGAAGAAACAAAGAACACCAGGAACACTAACCGCAGAGGTCTATGTGAAAGCCAGAGTCACTGCACATTTGGCTTTTAACTTTTTTTCCAAAAGCAAATGCATGGAACAATATTTATAAATTTATGTTAACAGACACATAATATATAAAGGTGTAATCTGTGACAGCAACAATATAAAAGGGAAGGACTATATGTATAACAGAGTATCTATGCTTCAGGATACTACTGAAATAAAGTTGGTATTATTAAAACTAGCTTGTTATAATTTTAAGATGTTAATTGTAATCCCCAAAGTAACCACTAAGAAAAAAATAGGACATATACAGAAGGAAAGAAGGGAAACAAAACAATACACCATAAAAATTCAACTAAATACAAAGTAAGGCAGTAATGGAGGAATTGAGGAACAAAAAAAAATATACATACAAACAGCTAAGTTCAGAAGTAAATCCTTATCAGTAATTACTTTAAATGTAAATGGACTAAACTTTCCTATTAAAAAGGCAAAAAGACTGGCAGACCGGATTAAAAAAAAAACTTGATGCATCTATACACATTCTACAAAAGACTCACTTTAGATATGAAGACACAAAGAGGCTGAAAGTAAAAGAATAGAAAAAGACATTCCATGCAAATAATAACCAAAAGAAAAGCTAGGATGGCTGTATTATTGTCAGACAAAATAGACTCTGAGTCAAAAATGGTGACAAGAGACAAAGAAAGACATTACATATAATAAAAGGTACAATCCAGCAAGAAGATACATTAATTATAAACATATATGCAGCTAACAACAGAACTCCAAAATATATAAGGCAAAAACTGAGATAAATGAAGGAAGAAATAGATGGTGCTATAACAATAGTTGGAGACTTCAATACCCTATTTTCAAGAATTAGTAGAACAACCAGACAGAAAATTAATAAGGAAATAGAAGATTTGAACAACACCATAAACCAATGAAACCTAACAGACACAGAGATCTTCCTCAACTTACGATGAAGTTACATTGAAATAAAACCATTGTAACTTGAAAATATCTTAAGTCAAAAATGCACCTAACGTGCCAAACACCATACCTTAGCCTAACCTATCTTTTTTTTGTTGAGGAAGATTAGCTCTGAGCTAGCATTTGTGCCCATCTTCCTTTACTTTACATGTGGGACACCTGCCACAGCATGGCTTGATAAGTGGTGCTTAGGTCCATGCCTGGGATCTGAACCAGTGAATCCCCGGCCACTGAGTGGAGCATGCGAACTTAACTGCTATGCCACCAGGCTGGCTCATGGCCTAACCTATCTTAAATGTGCTCAGAACAATTACATTAGTCAGTTGGGCAAAATCATCTAACACAAAGCCTATTTTATAATAAAGTGTTGAACATCTCACAAAACCTATTTTATAATAAAGTGTTGAATATCTCATGTAATTTATTGAATACTGTAACAAAAGTGAAAAAGAGAATGGTTGTATGGGTACAGAATGCTTCTAAGTGTATCAGTTATTTAATTATTGTGTGACTTAATTAATAATTGTGTGACTGACTGGGAGCTGTGGCTCTCTGCTGCTGGCCATCATCATGAGAGAGTATCATACTGCATATCACTAGCCCAGGGAAAAAAATCAAACTTCAAAATTTGAAGTACTAATTTGAAATACAAAATTTGAAGGTTTCTACTGAATGCATATCACTTTCACACCATTGTAAAACCAAAGAATTGTTAAGTGGAACCATCGTCAGTCAGGGACTGTCTGTATACAGAATACACCCATCCAACAAAAGGAGAATACATTCTTCTCAAGTGCACATGGACCATTTTTTAAGACAGAGCACCAACTCTTAATAAATTTAAAAAGATTGTAATCATAAAAATTATCTTTTTTGATCACAATTCAATGAAACTAGAAATCAGTAAAATGAGAAAATCTGAAAAATTCAGATATGTGGAAATTAAATACCACACTCAAACAACCAATGGGTCAAAAAAGAAATCACAAAGGAAATTAGAAAATACCTTGATGGGGGCCGGCCCCATGGCCGAGTGGTTAAGTTTGCGTGCTCTGCTTTGGTGGCCTGGGGTTTCGCCGGTTCAGATTCCAGGTGCAGACATGGCACCACTCATCAGGCCACGCTGAGGCAGCGTCCCACATGCCACAACCAGAAGGACTCACAACTAAAAGCATACAACTATGTAGCGGGGTGCTTTGGGGAGAAAAAGGAAAAATAAAATCTTTAAAAAGAAAAAAAGAAAAGAAAATACCTTGAGACAAATTAAAATAAAAACGCAACATAAGAAACTTAATGGGATGCAGCGAAAGCAGTACACAGAGGAAAACATACAGCTGCAAACACCTACATTAAAAAAGAATAATCTCAAATCAATATCTAACTGTATACACTAAGGAACTAGAAAAAGAAAAGCAAACAAACCCAAAGCTAGCAGAAGAAAGGAAACACTCAATACTGACTCAAGAAGAAACAGAAAATCTGAATAGACCTATAACAAGGAGACTGAATTAGTAATTAAAAATCTCCAAACAAAGAAAAGCCCAGGACTAGATGGCTTCACTGGTGAATTCTACCAAACAGTGAAAGAAGAATTAACACCAATCCTTCTCAAAGTCTCCCAAAAAATCTGAAGAGGAGGGAATAATTCCTAACTCATTCTGGGATCAGTATACTCTGACACCAAAGCCAGACAAAGACACTACAAGAAGACTACAGACCAGTATCCCCCATGAACATAAATGCAAAATCCCTCAACAAAATACTAGCAAACCAAATTCAGCAACATATTAAAAGAATTATATACCACAACCAAGTGGGATTTATCCTCAGGACGCAAGGGTGGTTCAACACATGCAAATCAATCAATGTATTACACTACAGGAACAGAATGATAGAAAAAAAAGTATTTCAATTGATGCAGAAAAAGCATTTGAGGGGCTGGCCCCATGGCCGAGTGGTTAAGTTCGTGCGCTCCGCTGCAGGTGGCCCACTGTTCCATTGGTTCGAATCCTGGGTGAAGACATGGCACTGCTCTTCAAACCACGCTGAGGCAGCATCCCACATGCCACAACTAGAGGGACCCACAACGAAAAATATATAACTATGTACCAGGGGGCTTCGGGAAGAAAAAGGGAAAAAATAAAATCTTTAAAAAAAAAAAAAAAAAAGAAAGAAAAAGCATTTGACAAAATCCAATACCCTTTCACAATAAAAACACTAAATAAACTAGGAATAGAAGGGTACTTCCTCAACACAAAAAAGGCCACATATGAAAAACCCACAGCTAAAATCATACTCAATGGTGAAGGACTGATAAGGATGTGCACTTTTGCCACTTCTATTCAACATAGTACTAGAAATTCTAGCTAAAACAATTAGATAAAAAAAGGAAGAAAGGGAAAAAGGAAGGAAGACAGAGCAAGGAATCAAATAGGAAAGGAAGAGATAAGGGGCAGCCCCATGGCCGAGGGGTTAAGTTTGCACGCTCTGTTTCAGCAGCTCAGGCTTTCACCAGTTCGGATCCCAGGGGCGGACATGGCACCACTCATCAGGCTATGCTGAGGTGGCGTCCCACATAGCACAACCAGAGGCACTCACAACTAGAATATACAACTACGTACTGGGGGTCTTTGGGGAGAAGAATAAAAAAAAGATTGGCAGCAGTTGTTAGCTCAGGTGCCAATCTTTAAAAAAAAAAAAGAAAGGAAGAGATAAAGTTATCTCTCCAGATGACATGCATGATTGTCTATGTACAAAATCCTAAAGAATCCACAAAAAACCTGATAGAGCTAATAAACAAACTGAGCAAAGTTGAAGGATATAAAATCAACATACAAAAATCAGTTGTATTTCTATACACCAGCAATGAATAATTTCTAAAGGATATTAAGAAAACAGTTCTATTTAAAATAGCATTGAAAGGAATAAAATACTTAGGAAAAAATTTAATGGAAATGAAAGACCTGTATGCTAAAAAAGTATAAAACATTGCTGAACGAAATTAAAGACAATCTAAATAAACTGAAAGACATCTCTTGCTCATGGGTTGGAAGATTTAGCATTATTAGGACGACAAACCAAAATGATAAACAGATTCACTGCAATCCCTATCAAAATCTCGATGGTGTGGTGTTTTGTTTTTTTTTTTCTTGCAGAAATAGAAAAACCTACCCTAAAATTCATTTGGAATTTTAAGGGAACATGAATAGCCAAAACAAATCTGGAAAAAGAACAAAGATGGAAGACTCACATTTCCCACTTTCAGAAATGACCACAAGCTCCAGTAATCAAAACAATGTGGTATTAGGATAAGGATAGACATACAGACCAACGGAATAGAATAGAGAACTCAGAAATAAACCTTATACGGTCAACTGATTTTCTACAAAAGTGCCAAGACCAATCAATAGGGAAGGACAGTCTTCAACAAATGGTGCTGGGAAAGCTGACTATCAATATGCAAAAGAATGAAGTTAAAACTTTACCTTATACCGTACATAAAAATTAACTCAAAATGGATCAGAGACTTAAACTAAGAGCTAAAACTATAAAACTCTTAGAAGAAAACAGGGAAAAATCTTCACATTGGATTTGGTGATAGTTTCTTAAGTCTGACATGAAAAGCAAAGATAAAAGAAAAAAACAAACTGAAGTTCATCAGCTTTTAAAACTTTTGTATATCAAAAGACACTATCAAGAGAGTGAAAAGACAACCCATAGAATGGGAGAAAATATTTTAAAAGCATATATGTGGTAAGATCTAGTATCTAGAATGTATAAAGAAAGACCTCTTACACCAAAATAACAGAGAGACAAACAACCCAATTAAAACACTGGTAAAGGACTTGAATAGACATCTCTCCAAAGAAGATATACAAATGGCCAGTAAGTATATGAAAAGATGCTCAACATCACTAATTATTAGGGAAATGCAAATCAAAACCATAATGAGACACCACTTCACACCCACTAGGTATTATCAAAAACCAGATGGGGCTGGCCCCGTGGCGGAGTGGTTAAGTTTGCATGCCCCACTTCAGCAGCCAGGGGGTTTGCAGGTTCAGATCCCGGGCGCAACTTAGCACCACTCATCAAGCCATACTGTGGCAGCATCCCACATGAAACAGAGGAAGATTGGCACAGATGTTAGCTCAGGGACAATCTTCCTCAAGCAAAAAAGAGGAAGATTTGTAACAGATGTTAGCTCAGGGCCAATCTTCCTCTCACACACACACAAAAGAAACCCCAGAAAAATAACAAATGTTGAGGAAGATGTGGAGAAACTGGAATCTCTGTGCACTGCTGGTGAGAATGTAAACTGATGCAGCTGCTGTGGAAAACAGTTTGCTGGTTCTCAAAATGTTAAACCTAGAATATTACCATATGACCAAGCAATTCCACTCCTGGGTATATACTGAAAAGAACAGAAAACAGACTCAAACAGATACTTGTATACTAATGTTCACAGCAGTGTTATTTATAACAGCCAAAAGGTGGAAATAACCCAAATGTACATTAACAGATGAACAGATAAACAAAATGAGTTATCCATACAATGGAATATTATTCAGCCACAAAAAGGAATGAAGTTCTGATACATGCTACAGCCCCGACAAACCTTTAAAACATTATACTAAGTAAAATAAGCTCGACACACAGAAGGACAAACATTGCATGATTCCACTTACATGAGAGATCTACAATAGACAAACTGATGGAGACAGAAAGTCGAATAAAAGTTTGCCAAGGGCTGGGGGAAGGGAACACGGAGAGTTACTGTTTAATCAGTATAGAATTTCTGTTCGGGAGGAGGAAAATGTTCTGGAAATAGCAGTGCTGGATACACAGCATAGTGAATGCATTTAATGTCACTTAATTGAATACTTGCAAATGGTTAAAAAGATAAATTTCATGTTATTTAAATTTTACCATAATAAAAAAAAATGGCAGTGACCAGAGATGCCCTTATGCACTATCAAGTGCCCAAGACAGCATCTGGCACGTGGCAGCTTCTCGAGAATATGTGCTGAATGAACCCATCATGTCTACTAACACTTAATTCCTCCTTACTCATCATCTTAAATCTTTCTGAGGATTTACACAAGAGATGATGGATTAGCAAAGAATGTGGCTAAACCAAAATCAGGAAGAGAATAAAAATACCAGGAGTAGGGTGACGAAAAGGCACGAATTTAGCCTAATACAGAGAGTAAAACCAAATTAAAAGCAAAAATAAAGGCAGAAATCTGAAAGAGTCAAATATGCCATGATTTGAATTCTGTAGGTCTTTTCTTTCTTCTAGTTCCCAGTCCCAATGAAGTTTCTCTAGTTTGTTTTCAACTAAGCATGTCCAGTATAAAGCCACCATACCGTCATCATTAACACCCAGTTCCAGAGAGGTTGTTGTTTCGTGGGAAAAGGTGAAAAAGATGAGACTCTTACCATCTCGTAAGCAAATGTTTCTTGTCTGCAGACCCGATCTATTGTTATGGTTTCTTCCCGATGTTCTAGGAGCTTCTTTCTAACCCTGTTATAGACCCAAGAAAAATCAAACTTCAATATTCTTTACTGGATCTTCCCAAGTATCCTTAAAATTTAACTTTTTATTTTGAACTACTTTTACTTTATACTTAGAGAGAAGCTGCAAAAATAGCACAAAGAGTTCTCGTATATCTCTCACCCAGCTTTCCATATGTTAACAACCCACATGATGAAAGAATAATTATCAAGACCAGGAAATTAACATTAATACAGTGTTATTAACTATAAATCTTTTTTGAATTTCACATATTTTTTAATTTAATGCCTTTTTTCTATCCCAGGATCTATGCAGGACACCACAGTGCATTTTTTTTTGGCGGAAGATTAGCCCTGAGCCAACATCTGTGCCCATCTTCCTCCACCTCATATGCGGGACTCCTGCCACAGCATGGCCTGTCAAGCGGTGCCATGTCTGCACCCAGGATCGGGTCCGCCGAAGCGGAACGTGCGCACACAACCGCTGAACCACCAGGCCATCCCCCAGATTGCATTTCTTATTTCTCCTTTCCCCTCCAGCCTTTTGCAGTTCTGCAATCTCTCCTCGTCCTTCAGGACTTCGATACATTCAAAGAGCTCTAAGAGTTACTTGGTGGAATGTCCTTCAATGCGGGTTTGACTGCTGTTCCCTCACGAGTACAGTAAGCTGATGCATCTTTGGCAAGAATATCACAAGAATGACGTTGTCCTCCTCACTGTATCACGGTAAGAGGTTCATGATGTTAATATTAGTATGTTTTATTACTGGCAAGTGTTTACCTTGGAAAAGTTCCTATCTGCCAGGTTCCTACACCAGAAAGATACTTTCTTTTCCTTTATACTTGCTAAGTATTTGAGGGAAGATACTTTGAAACTATGCAAATCTTACTTCTCAAACTTTCACCCAGGAATTTTAGCATTCAAAAGTAGTTTTGTCTGCAACATTTATTACTGTGCTATATGCCTAATGGTGCTTATCTATTTCCCTTCTACATTTCTTCCTTGACATTATGAGGAAGACCTGTCTCTTTCCTCCCACTTACTTATTTGATTATTTAAACTAGTGTGAACTCACTGAAATTTATTTTATTCTCCAGGTTAAAATCTAATACTATCATTATTTTGTTGTTCAAATTGTTCTAGCTTTGGCCATTAGGAGCTCCTTCAATTTAGCTCCTGTACTTTCAACAAGCCCTCATCTTTTTTTTTGAGCATTTCCTGTCCTTACTTTCTGGTACCATAAGATGCTCAAGGCTCACCCTGTCTCAGCCCTGGAATCAATCACTTCTCCTAAGAGCCCTAGTTCCTTTATTGGGAGAGGTGTTTATAGAGACGAGGGGTTCTCCGTGCTACTGCAATCACAGCTTCCAGGCCTCTCAGCAGAGAGATGTAGGAAACATACATAGGTATGCTAACCCACACATGTACAAATATCTGTATTTGTCTATTTGTCATATATTTAAAATCATAAGTTTATACTGATACTTCTAATCCCAAACAAAAATCACAGGATTGTTTAGCCTTCAACCTTTCCTTGTTTATAACTTCTTTCTCCATAAGTGAAAAACCCAGCTCCTATTATCTATAATCTATTAACTTATTTGTTCAATTCTACAAAATACAGTTTCAGAATTGCTAACCTACCCCTGTGAGAAACACTAACTCATGAGCAGTTCTTTTGTCTTCAGCCTTATAACACCGAATCAAGACACACTTCTGTACAAACTTAGTTCTTCCTTCCCTGCTCTCTTCAGTAGTGTTGTTACTCATTTGGAACACAGTTAGGCTCATTGGTTAGTTTTTGTATTCTATTTTGGGTTCCACCACCCCCATTCTGGTTGGTTTTAACTGATTACTTTTGGGGTGTGTGAAAGATATGTGAAACATTACTATGGTTCTAAGAGTCAGAGTTATAAAAAACATACATACTCAGAGAAGTGTCATTCCCTTTATCTCTAACCTGTTCCCTTTCCCTTTTCTTCTACCCCTTTCCCACCATACCCTGTAGGCAACCAATCTCTATAATTCTGGTTTATCCTTTCCATTTCTTTTGTTCAAATAAGCAGATACCTGTGTATTTTCTTATATCCCTTTCTGTATCAATCTGAGTTCAATTAGAAGAAAAAAACCAAACAGTAATTTGAACAGAGAAACCTTAATCTAAAGTATTATTAACTTTAACAGAGGATTGGAGAAATGAGGGATTGGCAAATAAGAGAACTCTAGAGAACACAGGAACAGGAGATACAAGGATTACCCTACCCCTTGGGCTGAGAAAGAGTGCCAAGGAAGCTTCCCTCTCCTTCCCCCAGGACTGAGATCCGGACCTGCCGGACAGGCCTGGCTGACACTCACTTGACGGCAAAGAAGCTATGCTGCTCCGGCAGGGGAACCTGCTAGAAATCTGCCCTCAAAGGTGGCAGGAAAAGCTATTCAGAGGAGGTGTCAAGGTGAGAGGAGCAGCAGGAAAAGCTGCTGGGCCAGGGGTGCTACCGCTGGGTACTGCAGAAACTGGGCAGGGGGACACTGTGTGTGCGGCAGGACCCTGCTGAGCCAGCACATCGGACGGGGAAGCAAAATCCTTTCCTCCTGCAAACTCTCTCCTGCACCGTTTACCGACAAAGCTTAATACTGTGGCAGCTGGCAAAAGAAAAATATGTAAAGGGCCAAGGCCCATTTTTTACAGAGCAGGCAAACAAGGTAAATTTATAGATGAGAGCCAATATAAACTGATACCTGGTGAATCTTCTTTCTTATATGAAGGGGAATATACTTTTGGGCTTTGCTCTTTTCATGCAACAGTATTTCCTAGAAATCCTCTAGTGCGTCACCCTCCCTCACCCTTTAGTAGAGCTGCACAATGCTCTGCTGTGTGGACGTCCTACAGTTTGTTCAAGACTCTCCTATGTATGTGTATTTATGGTATTTCAAGTATTTTGCAATTACAAACAATGCTGCAATGAATAACCTGTACATCATGTATTTTCATATTGTTGGAAATGTGTCTTCAGTATAGATTTCACTGCTGGGTCAAAAGATAAGTGCCTACGTAATTTTGTGTTAGGCATTACCCAGTTTTCCTAGAGAAGGGTAGTACCAACTTGCATTTCCATCAGCAATGTCCAAAAATGCTTGTTTCCCCACAGCCTCATTAGAAGAATATATCATATTTCTTGATTTGTGCCAGTCTTGATAAGCGAGAAAAATGTATCTTAGTGTCATTTTAATTTGCATTTCCCTAATTATGAATATGTTTGAACATTTTTCTCATATCTAGGAGTCATTTTTCTATCTTTTTTGTGTATGAATTATTGGTTCATGTCTTTTTTCATTTTTCCATTGGGTTTTTGGTCTTTACCCCTCAACTTTCAAGTTCTCATACATTAGGAATATTAGCTCTTTGTAGTATATGTTATATTTTCTTCAAGTTTGGCAGCTCTCTTTTGACTTTGTTTATGGTGTTTTTTTGTCATGCAAAATTTTTATCTTTATGTTGTCAACTTTATCAATCTTTTTCTTTTATTACATCTGTATTTAAATTATACTTAGAAAGTTTTTCACCATACCAAGGTTTGTATGTTTCATTCTTTACATTTCGATCCCTGATCCCTTTGGAGTTTATTCTTTTGTATAGTGTCATACTAAATTTCCGTATGTCTTTGAATCTAACTGGATTTTCTCTTCTATTTGTCTATTTATGAGCTAGTACCCACTGTTTTAACTATAAGAACCTTGCAGTATATTTTAATATCCGGTAAAATGACTCACCCTCACAATTTTCTCCCCCCCAGGCAGAGTTTTTCCTAGTTATTCTTGGGGATTTTCCATATGAACTTTATTATCAACTTGTCTAACTCCATAAAATAACCAATACTTTTGGTATTTTTATTGGAATTGTACTTAATTTATATGTTAACTTAGGAAGAACTGACATCATTACGATGTTTAACATTTCTATCTAAGAACAGGATATCTTTTGATTTTTTCAAGTCTTTTTCTGAATCTTTTGGGAGTGTTTTAAAATTTTCCTTACCTAAGTTTTACACATTTCTTGTTACATTTATTCCCAAGTATTAACTTTCTTTTTGACTATTGTAAATGGGATTTTTTTCTACCATTATGTCCTCTGATTATTCATTCTTTGTATCTATGAAGTCTACTGGTTTTTATACACCAATTTTGTAGCCTGTTATTACACTAAATTCTTTTCTTGTTTTTCTTGTTTCTTGTCTGTTTTAGCATTGACTTTTTTTTGGCTTTTCCAGATATATTATCATATTTCCAAACAGAGCTAGTTTTTCTTCTTTATATATTCTTATGCTTATAATTGATTTCTCTTGTTAAACTGCATAGCTAATACTTATAGTACAATGTTACAAAGAAGTGGAGACAATAGGCACACTTGCCTTGCCCTAGATTTTTGTAGAAATGCCTGTACTGCTTCTCTGTTAAATAAGATACTAACTTTACAACTCAGGTATATCTCTTCTGCCTTGTTGGAAGAGCAGCCCTCCAATTTCTATTTCCCTGAAAGTTTCTACCATGAATGGGTGTTGAATTTTATTACAGGCTTTCTCAGCATCTCTGGAAATAATCAAATGATTTTTTTCCCTTAGATTCATTAATATGGTATATATTAATAGATGTCCTAATAGTGAACCAGCCTTGCATTCCTGGAATACACTTGGTCATGGTGTATTGTTTTCCTAATATAGCACTGGATTATTTGCTAATATTTTCTGAGTGTTGAGTGATACTAGTCTCAAGTTTTCTTCCTTTGTCATGTCTTTATCCAGTTTAAGTATTGGTGTTACGCCTGCCTCATAAGAAGAATTAAGCAGTTTTTCTTCCTTTTCAAGGCCCTAGAGCAACTGGGACTATCTGGTCTTTGAACGTTTGGTAGAATTCTCCCGTGAAACTATCTAGACCTGGAATTTTTGTGGGATATTTCCTTAAATAACTTTCTGTTTTTCCACAGAAATTAGTCTACTTAAGTTTCTCCTCTAAAAT